TTTACACGCAAAGACAGAACCCAGAGCCACACCGCTAGGCAGGTCTTCCCCCATACTATCTGCAACCAGAGTCAGATTTAACCACAGAGTGATTCCATGGGGAGCAACCAGGCCATATCATGGCACAAGTGAGCACCCCCAAAACAACATCCCCTTTGCTCTTTTCTCTTCCCAGAATTCCAGCTTTGTTTTCTGGTGACTTCCATCCCTCAGAAAGCCTGGGTCCTCAAGGCTTGATGTTTGGATTATCCTAGCCTCCAACTCAGTCACCCTAAGCAGAATCAGGGTTCTCAGCGATGACAGACATGACACCTCTCATAAGCATCACTTTTGTGAGCCCCCAGTGATTGTGACTTGCTGTTTTAGGCAGGATGTCATATTCTAGGCTAGCCAGGAACCCTCTCCCAAGGATGACCTACCTGATTTTCTCTTGATCCTCTTCCTTGATTGCTCAGATTGCAGGCATGTGCCACCACGTGTGATTTATGGGGTGTTGAGGACTGCATCCAGGGCTTTCTGGATGTTAGTTAGCCAAGTGCTCTCCCAGTTGAGCTACATTCCTAGCCCTGATATTAGACTTTTAAATCTTGTGTCCTTTACCTACATTTTAAATTTGGGCCTAGGGGAATGTGTTGCTACCCGTAACGTTGCTAAAACTAAAAATGAAAACCCCTGTGGGGATGGTGACACACACCTTTATTCCCAGCACTTGGAAAGTAGAGGTAGGCAGATCTCTGAGATTAAGGTCAGCCCGTCCTACAAACAGTTCCAGGTCATCTGGGGCTATATAGTGAGAGCCTGTCTCAAAAAAAAACAGAAGCAAACTGGACAAGATAAAAGTTTTTTGTTTTTGTTTTTTTGGTTTTTCGAGACAGGGTTTCTCTCTGTAACAATCCTGACTACCATGGAACTTGCTTTGTATTGGCTGGCTTCGAACTCACAGAGATCCATCTGCCTCTGCCTCCCAAGTGCTGGGATTAAAGGTGGGCGCCACTACTGTACAGCACTGATAAATGTTTTGAGTGGTGAGTAGATGGTGAGTTTATCTGCACACAGACAAAGGGATCTTGACTGGTCCAAGCTTCACAGGTCCAGAAGTGATGTAGGATACGTAGACTGGGATGGGAGTGGTGTGTGCATTTCAGTTCCCATCACGAGTTGGGACACAAAAGTTTGGGCTGAGCCTCCGACCATTCTTACACTGGGATGCTTGCCTCCCACCCAGACTTCAGCCGCTACAAAGCCAGACTACCCTTGGGGCACTGTGGAATCCGTTATCAGCACCCGCAGTCCCTTTGCTTTATCTCGGTGGCTCCTGCTCAGGCTGACAATGTCACAAGGCAAGCCAGCCTTGCCCCTCCCCATGACTAATGATGGACGGTGGGAGACTGTGGTGGCCAGCTGCAGTTCCCAAGGGTTTTTGTTTTTGTGGTTTTTCTTTTCTTCTCTGTGTGTGTATGTGTGTGTGCGGTAGCAAAGGAAGGAAATGAGAGTGGGAATAGAGTGTAGTGCTGCCTCCTGCCCCCACCCCCTGCAGCCTGGTCAGTGATGAGAAGTTCTGCAGGAAACACCTCAGAGTTGCCGAGGGTGTTCCCCCATGAATGTGGCTTGCTGAGGTCTGGGGCCAGGAAGGAAGGAGCCAGGACTAGCAGGCAAGGAAGGAAGAGGGGGAGGCTGGGAAGGCATGAAGGTGACAGGCTGACTGCCACCTACAGTACCCACAAACCAGGACCTCTGTGGACAGTCTGACTTGTCACTATGACTCCTTATGAGCTACTCCATTTTATGGGACTAAACCTCAGAAAGGAAAGGGACCAGAAGTTGCTAGCTGTAGAGGACAGGGTTGAGACAACTGGTCCATGTCCCCAGTCTTGCGGCTGTTTCAGTATGGCATACCGAGCCCAGGGGACAAGGAGAGGGATCATCACAGAAGGCGTTGTGAGAAATCAGCTGAATTCTAAGGAGAGAAGAGAGGGCCAGGCAGAGGCTGGGCACCAAGGGATAGCTGACAAGCTAGGCGTGGAGGTTGAGAGTCAAAGAGGTGGTTCCAGGCTCCCCTGCATGTGAGAAGTGCAAAGAGGCTGGGGACAGGCTCTACCCTGTGGGGCAGGTTGGCTGTGCTGACAAGGGCTAACAGATCCCATAAATACACACACACATATATATACACACACAACTTACCAGCCAGACAATCAGTGACTCCCAAGATAGCTTTGAGAGACAGTTCATGTACCCTCAAGCTTGACCTGGATAGCAGGATGACCAAGAAGATGCCCTAAGGAGTCTCTCTGGGTAGTAGGGGTAGGAGGTTCCCAAATCACACCACTCTTAGGACTGAAGAGCCACCAGCGAGAACCAGCGGAGTCTCTCATTGTCCCCCTTGTCCTGAGTCTCCCTGACTCTACCCTTTGGTCTCTGGCCACCCGTGACTGAGACTTAGGAAGGTGACTTCAGGCCCTAGTCACTGCCAGGCTCATAGGAACACAAGACGAAGCTCCTTGCACAAGGTACACTTCCAGTCAGGAAACCCCGGTTCCCTGTTTCCAGGTCTAGGGACTCTCAGGAAGACAGTCCGGAGGCTCTAAAGGACTAGGCCCAAGTCTTTCCCCGTGCCATGAGAAGCTGCTGAGCTTTGGGCACACCCTCCGAATCTGTCTCTCGTAACCAAACATGCCCACCAACCTCTTGCTCTATTAAACAAACACTCAAGGTCCCATTCCACTTCCGCCTGGCCCCTAGTCCCATCTCTGCATTCATTGTCTGCCAGATTCTGGCCTGGTTGGGTCATGGGGTCATAGGGAGGCCAGGGGCCTAGCTTTATGGTTATCTTCTGTTCCACCCTCCTCAGCTAGCTCTGTGTTAGCTCCCCTGGCTGGAAGGTACTGACAGCATGCCTGTTTCACAGCTGGAAATCTTGAGGCACAGACAGGTACAGAGACTTGCCTATGGTCAGGTGGGGCAGGACAACCAGGATGGGGCCCTGCTGGACTTGGTGAGGGAGGGGCCTGGGACTCACAAGTAGGGTGGAGGGGAGGCCGAGGGCTCTCTGGAGAGAACTCATCTAAGATCAGGTTTTCTATTACCCCAGAACCCTGTCTGCACTGCCAGCAGGACTCTGATGGTCACCGAGGGGTATGTGTGGCAGCAAGCAGGGTCTCCTAGCCAGTGAATCACTCATTTCCCCTCCTCTGTGACAGAGGCGCCTCTCACACCCTGAACTTTAGGTTGTGAGGTTTCAAGGCCACTTGCCCTCCACAGGCCTCAGTTTCCCTACCAGCAGGAAGGACTGCTTATCAAGTGTCAACAGTCCCAGGCCTTCACCTCTGGCTTTGGAGCCTGGGAACCTCAGCAACTTCACTTCCTCATTCCTGCCCTGCCTACCCTTCTCCACAGAGGTCTGGATCTCCCCCCTTGGGCTGACCTGCCCCTGGCATCCAACCCTGATACACCTGTGGAGGGGGTCATAATGCCCCCCCAACACTTGCTCCGGGAAGGAGCTAAGAATTCTGGATCTCCACCCCAGTACTCTCAGCAGACTCAGACATGCTCTGCGCTTAAGTCCCAGCACAGGGAAGAGCCAGATTGTCCTGGGCATTAAGTACCCTCTGGCTGTTTACAGCACAGGGAGAGGGGTCTGGGAGAACAGGGAAAGATGTGTTGCCTGCCCGCCTCATACTGCAGTGTTTTAGAGCCCTGGTCTTACACTTGAGGAAGGAAACCACCAGGTTTTGGGGACCCCAGGCCACCTGCAGGTACCTGACCCCACACAAGCTAGTGTTAGAATCAGGCCCAGAGCTACAGGGGAAGCCTGCTGGGAACAGTAGGGTTAAGAAAATCATCCCAGCCTATGCCATCAAGTCCCTGTCAATCCCCCTTTGGCTCTCAGGCTCCCTGGAAATTGGAGCCATCAATGCAAATAGGTGCCCAGCCATGCCTCCCAGACTACTGACAAATTTCAGCAGTTGTCTAAATAGAGGGCAGCTGCAGTGTCTCCCGGAACTGTATCCATGGCTGGATCTGAATGGTTACCTTCCCACCCATCCACCACCACCACCCACACGTGCACAATAACCTGGCAACTTTTATCACTGGAAAGTCCCTCCTATGTGAAACCAGAATTTCTCAAGCCACAGAACTGGTGGTCACAAGGGCTCAGGTTGCCTAGAATGGGGCAGAGTACTGAGCACCCCTTCTGGGCAAGACCAGCTTGGTATCTGAGGTTATTGGATCCAGGGTCCTGGTAAAGGGCTGGCTTTGTTAATTTATTTGTTTTTAGTTTATGTACAGGTGTTTTACCCACACGTATGTCTGTGCACCACACACGTGAATGCTCACAGAGGCCAAAAGAATGCACTGGATCCTCTAGAATTGGAGTGAATGATTGCTTATTAACATGTGGGTGCCAGGAACCTAACCAGGGTCCTCCGGAGAGGGAACTGGTGCTCTTCGGCTCTGAGCCATCTCCCCAGCCCCTAAAAGCCTGTGTTTGTGGCTCCAGGCAGGGACTTTTCCAGCTCAGGACTTGCACCAGTCATCCAGTCCATTCAGTGGTCAGCAAAGGGCTGACCCAGCAACTAGTCACCACAGTCGGCCAGCACCAACCAGCTAGTTACCACAGTCTGCCAGCACCAATCAGATAGTCACCACAGTCTGCCAGCACCAACCAGATAGTCACCACGGTCTGCCAGCACCAACCAGCTAGTTACCACAGTCGGCCAGCATCAACCAGCTAGTTACCACAGTCTGTCAGCACCAATCAGATAGTCATCACAGTCTGCCAGCATCAACCAGATAGTCACCACGGTCTGCCAGCACCAACCAGAAAGTCACCACGGTCTGTCAGCACCATGCCTCCCAATCAGCTAGTTACCACAGTCTGCCAGCATCACCCCTTCCAACCAGCTAGTTACCACAGTCTGCCAGCATCGCACCTCCCAACCAGATAGTCACCACGGTCTGCCAGCACCACGCCTACCGACCAGCTTAGTTTACCAACTGTAGGCACTATTTTAATTCACATTTATTTTTAGAATACTCAGCTACTTTCTATAGCAGAAATACACCGGGCAGTTAGAAAAGGAAACCCTCCTGGCCTGAAATCCTGGAAGGAGCCTCAGCCACCCCAAAAGACTCCCCCACAAATGCCTGGAATTCTTCCACTCTTGACTCCCCCTAACTGAGACCAAAAATTCCATGACTCCAGGCTTCATAGCTGCGGGTAGAGCCAGAGTGACTCACTGGGCTTCCTTCTTGGGGTCAGTCACGGGGAGGGTGACAGACCCTCCGCCTACCCGTCTTCTGCCTGCCATTCAGTCCTAGATGCATGTGATCAGCACGTCCACAGAGGTGGGCACTTCGATCTCTTCAAAGAGCACACGTCGTGGGGAGGGCCTGATCTCAGGCGCTGCCCTCAGCAAGTCTTGGGTGTGTTGCAACAGATTATGATTCCTACGGCGACCGAGTCTACGCAGCGCCAGAATGGCCAGTACATGGTCACGCCTGTGGAGACAAGGGGGTCCTAACTGAGGAGCGGTGACCCTGGTACCCTCCAGCCCCACCCTGTCCCTAGAGAGGACAGGAACCAGGCTTGGGAGGAAGTATGATTCAGCCAGCATTCCTGGAGCTGGGTCAAAGAGGCTGAAAGGCAGGGACCATCCGAGGCCGGGAGGGGATGAGGGCTCTAAAAGGAAGCGGGATTGGAGCTGGGGGTGCACAGCAACTGAACCTAGAAGCACACAGGCATGAGACGGGAGGGAGCACGCACACAGTCGAAAGAAGCTTTGAGCAGAGGCGAAGCAAGGAATCTGACCTAGCGAAGGTTCCAGAAACTGACAGAGAGCAAAAGAGGTGGAGGAGGAGGCCAGGGGAAGGTCCTTGCAGTGTGCAAGACAAAGCAGCGGCAGGGGTGGGGGATCGGGAGACTGGAGAGGGACGATGAGTTGGGGGAACACGCAGGTACAGAGTGGCACCCTGAGTCACTGTTCCCTACTTTTCCAGCCGTCCAGGGCTTGGAGCTAGGAAGGGAACTGGGGAACCCCCAAAGAGTGGTAGGGAAACTGAAAACTTAGATGGGATCATCATCCAGATCTAAAGTCTGGCAGAGCAAACCAGCAGCTCGCAGCGCAGCCGCAGCCGCAGCCAGGAGCCAGGGAAGGGGCTGGACCAGGCCTTTCAGCGGCTTTCTATCCCGGAATCTCTGAGAGCATTGGAAAGAGCCGAACCGGGATTCCTACGGGTTCTGATGACTCAGTACCCAGCACAACCCGGGGTCCCGGACCGAGCCTCCTTCCTGTCGAAGCCTCAGGGGGATTCCAGAGAGGATTTGCGCCTGGGGGGTGGGAGCCGCGTTGTCCACGGGTAATAGAGAACACAGGGAGAGATGGCCCTTTTGCCTACGGTCCCTGTGCCCTTCTGTCGTGCACATGCGCACACGGGTCCGTCGAGGTTTGCTCCGCTGAGGCATTGAGTTCTCTCAGCTGGGATAAACTGGCTCTTCCCTGTCCTACTCGTCGGCATTCACAGCCAACAGGACTTTGCTGAAGGTGCGAGTACCAGGTCCCAGTTACTCCTGACTCCCGGTCATAAGCTAGTGGGGGAGGAGGGCCTGCACACCTGATGTCTGGGTAGCTGCGTATAAGTGTCTCCAGGTGCCGCTGGATGTCGTCTTTGTAGGTCTCACCCAGGATCTCAGCCACGCTCAGGATGGCTTGGTCCAACCACTTGGCTTCAGAGCCCTGAGGAGACAGGGAGATGTGTGCTGCTGTCCACTTCCCCGTGGAGCTCCTTAGTTCCTTCTTTAGTTCAGACAACGCCTTCTTTAGTTCCCTGCTACACCCATCCCAAGTATCTCCCGCGGGTGGTTTGTCCATAATAAGATGCCACGGGCGCAAGGGACAGAGGGAGCATCTGCAAAGATTCTGTAGAGATGGCTTCTTGTCTGCACAGATGGGAAATCCTTGCCCTGACCAGGGACGTGCAGCGTGGAGCCTGCCAACAGTAGGAGACCAGCAGCCCAGATGAGGGATTTGGGTATGGCTCAGAGTGTCCCGGATCCGAGTGGGGAGAGACCTCCCAAAGATCTTGCCCATCATAACCCTCATCCCTTCTTCACCTTCATCCACAACTGGGTGCAAATATGAAGTGACATCCCCATCTGGGCCTGTACCTCTTGAGCACACCCCCCCCCATCTTCCCAGTGTAGTCTGAAGAACTAACTGCCTACTGTAAGCGCTCTTCTCCACTACCACCCGTTCCTACATCCGCCCTGGTTTTTTTTTTTTTTTTAACAGATGAGAATAGGAAGTGCCCGACTGGCCAGAGACTGAGCCCTGCTTGACATTCAGATGTTGCTCCTACCAAGCCCTGGAAAGTGTTGCTAATGGCCTGGGCATCCAGGCTCATCTTATGGGAGCCGTTCACACGATCCAGGCCACTGAACCTCTCATGGGGCCTCAGCACCTGCCCCAGGTACTCGCGGATCACAAAACGGTGAACCTCCTGCAGAGTCTCCTGGAAGAGTGAGGGCTTAAGGTCAGGATAAAAGGCATGGGCCGTGCACATCCATGCCAGCCACCCTATTTCCTGGTACCTGTGCCAGTAGCGGGGTCACATGTTCAAGATGATGTGCAAAGTCCACCACCTTGTCCATGAGGGGACGCAGTGTGTCCTGTGTGAGCCAGTTCTTGGTATATAGCATCTTGAATAGTGGCTGGGGACAGAGGGACATGGGAGTAAGCTCTGTTCGTCATTCCTAACTCCCTTCCCCGCTGGGTTCCCTTGTGCCATCCTCTTTCCTAGGCACAAATTTTATCACTGCACCTTTTCCAGAATGCCTCCTTCAGTGGGCATGGTTTGGGTTTAGTGTCTTGTTAGGCCCTGCGTAGGGTGTGTTCTGAAGAATGCTAGGCCTTATTTCCTGGCCCAGCATCCCAGAGCTTGGGTGTTGATCACAGAGGAAGGGATTACAGTGGGGTGGTAGGTGCTTCCCACTGCCCTTGCTCAGCTGGGAACTCACTTAGGGCGAAGGAATGCTGGGAACTAGGCCTGGAACTTCAGGGAACGGAGGGCACTGCTGGGCACGGAAAACCTCCAATTCACCTGTATGTCTTGCTGTGTCATCTGGATCAGGTGCTTCTGGAAGCTATTGGTGGCAGCCACAAGGGGTTTCTCCAGTTCCTTTACGGTTCCTGGGAACCTGGCCAGAAGACTGGTTCTGGGGAGGGGCCAAGACAAGTAATAAGCTGGGCAGGGGGAAGCAGGTTGGAGAATAAGACCCAGCGAGCATAACCCAGCAACCTGGGCACTGCACGGACTTCATTCATTTACCAGTGGTTCTCAACCTTCTTAATGCTGTGACCCTTTAACATAATTCCTCATGTTGTGGTGACCCCAGCCATAAAATTATTTTCATTGCTTCTTCATAACTGTAAGAATTTTTGCTACTTTATAAATTGTAATGTAAAACCTGATATGCACGGCAGCTGACATGGACTTCTGTTGAAAGGGTTGTTCGCTCCCCACCAAGGGGTCTCAACCCACAGGTTGAGAACCGCTGATTCAGACTGCTGTGAAGGGTAGACCCTGGAGGGGTACAGAATAGCAGCCACGGGAGCAGAACTGATGAGGGGGCAGTTTTAAAGACATGGGAGCCAATCAAACTCTGGCAGCAGAGTGGAAGCTCAACTCCATGACAGAGGTCCCATCTGACAGCTTTGAGACAGCCCTCCACGCCTCTTGGGGATGGGACATTGTCACCCAGCCATGTCTGGCACAAGCGCCCCACTAAGCTTCATCACTGCCTCTGAGGATGACAATATCCCATTTCACTGTTGAGAAAACCGAGGACCAGACTCTATCCAGTGCACAGCACTATCTATCAAGAGATGGGGAACGCTTCCTGGGGCTGAGTGGTCATTGTTGTCATGTAGTCTGTGTGTTGTTATCCCCCTGCCTTCTTCCTTCCCCCCTCCTTCCCCCCACTCCCCATCACCATTCCCCACCCCCACTGCTGAAGACTAGCCTGGTACCGTGAGCGTACAGGGAAGCAGAGCACCAGTGTGGCCACCCTTGGGACACAGGCAGACCCGGTTTAAGTTCTAGCTGTGTGACTTCCTGGTTGTACCAGTATCCACTTGTCCATCTGCATCTGGGTACCCTGGCCTTGGGAAGACACCGGTGAGGTGGATGAAGCAGGCACATGGTGCCTGGTGTATCGCAAGCGCTCATAAAGAGCTCATTTGGATTGAGTGCTCACAGTCTGAGGAAGCAGGCTCTGGCTTTGTTAGAAGACAGGAGGCACAGAGATGAAGTGATGTCCCAGGGCACACAGCCAACAATGGGCAACACTGGAATTCGAACCAACCAGGAGACCCAGATCTCGTGCCTTCTGTTGATGGCTGCATTCCCCAGACTAGTACATATGTAGGGAAGAGCGCACCCAGTGTGGCTGGGGTCAGGGCAAGGTAGCAGTCTCTCCCAAACAGAAAGGGAGGGCCTTGCATTCTGAGGGTAGAGGCGCCCGAGATTGTCCAGGATGGGGTTCAAGGAGGGAGCTTCTCCGAGCTTCTCCGAGGAGGAGGTAAAAAAAAGAACGGAATGGGATGGAGGAAATAATGGGATGAAGGAAGTAAACGAGGAGTCCTGGGATTAGGGGATCCCATCTCCTCAGCCTCTGGTCAGCCTTGAAGCTCCACATTCCCCAATCGTCCCATGGCCCTAGCTCTGTTGAACACATTAGGGCCAGAGCGGAGAAGGGAAAATCCGGGAAGGTCTCGGGGGAACCCACAAGAATTCACACTCAGGAGGTACTACCCCAAAAACCCCACCACCACCCCCGCCTGCCCCAGCCTCCGCTGCTTCGGATCTTTTTTCCTGTACTCGCGCGCCTCCTGCTGGCAGTACTCAGCAACGCCCTGGAGCTGAAGCGACTTACCTCATCTCCACAAAAGCGTTAATGTAAGCGCCCAGGTAGCACTCGCTCACCGCCTTTGACGCCAGAAATGCCTTTTCAAACCTGGGGACGGAAAAGGATCATTCCTCTAACCTCGGGTCTCCTCCCTCTTAGGTCCTCACCAGTCATGAGGGTCTCACATTCAGACCGGTGGACCCCACCCACTCCTGGCCGTGTCATCTCCCTCCCACCCTTCCGGGGCTGAGAATGCCACCCGCACCTGGGCACAAAGAGGCAGAGCGCACGTGCGCAGATCTGCAGGGTGGTGGCCTCCAGCTCCGAGGAGATAGCGCCGGCCGCCTTCACGTGCTCAGCCACGAGCTGTCAGGGACGCCACACGCTGAGCGCAGTAGAGTCCCGAACCCAGCCCACCTCTCCCAGCAGTTTTCAGTTGCCCCAATGTGAGGGTCACCCCCATCCCAATCCCAGAGTCCACCGGCAGACCTGAGAGCTGTAACCTAGACTGGCCATGTGCTTCAGGGGCCTAGATCACCCCCACAGGTTCCCTCTCAGTATAACTTAGCTCTGAGGGATCTCCGCCACGTGCCTGAGGCCAGAACCAAGCCCCTCCTCAGCCCTCTCCCGTGCGCACCATGTGCACATCGATGGACAGGGGCGTATGGTAGAGGCCCTGTAGCACTTCCAGCTCCTCGCCGGCTTCCCAGCGACTCTGCTCCAGCTGCAAGATGCTATCAAAACAGCTTGTGATCTTTGTCTGTGGGATTAGGAGTGGGCTGCGATTAGAAGCCACCCACGAGGAAGGTAAGAGCTCCCCCTGCCTTCCAAGCCCCACTTTGCGCCTTGAAGGACTAGCGTCACTGGACCTCACCCACAGACCATGCCTATAGGTACCTCCAGCACAACCCCAATTCTGGGAGTCAAGTCTCCGGTCCTAGTCTCTGGAGCCCGGAGCCTCCCCAGCCTCACCTCTAGGAAGTTAGTGTAGTCACTTTCCAGTCGGGCCCACAAAGCAGGCTCTAGGAGTGGGGGCAGCGGTTCGGTGGGCAGTGTCAAGTCTGGGGCGCCTAGGAAGTCAGGACTGAAAAGCAAGATGGGATGGGAGAGTTGCTAAGGACCCGGGAGGAGCTTTGATGCCCAACTGCCTCCTTTCCCTAACCAGGCTCAAAGTCCAAAGTCATCATTAGGGCCCTGAACTCCGTTTCTGTGGACACATTCCATTCCTCTACCCTCCAGAGGTCTATGCCATCACTTCCCTTCCCTCCCTTCCCGGAAGCCTCTGCCGGCTGCGTTGGACTTCTTGGCACTCAAGCATCCAGCTGGGCCTGCTCAGAATGCTTAAGGAGCTGTTCGGATGGACCTCTGCCAGACTGCCTCAGTGTGCCCTCTACCCTCGTGGTTAGCTACAGTAAAGACTGAGCACTAAGCAACTCCCCCCCCCCACCCACACACACAAATCACTATGTAACCCAAATCAGGGCGCCGGAGAATGACAGTCTGACCACAGCAATGTAAAGAGGCCAGGATTTGGGCAGCCTTCTCCCTCGCCTATTCTTCTCCCTTTAGTCTGTGGCAAAGTTGGGGCCCATTTATCTGGGAAATTAAAGCACCCTTGATACACAGCACCCTTCTTGTTACACAGTACCAGGGATGGAAGCCCCTAACAGGCTGCACTCTGCATAAGGATGCTCACCCAGAGGGAAAGAAGGCTGAACCCACACTCCGAGTGGTGCTCTGCCTGGAAAGACGCTCTTTTCTAATGCATTTGCAGTCGCTTTAAGGACTAGCAGGGCTATCTGGGGCTCCTGGCTCTGGTGTGAGGCGCACATGAAAGACTCCCTAGCTTTGGGAACCTGTAGCTGCGTGGTCCTTTAGGAAAACCTGGGATGGGAGTACACAGCCTAGCACAAAAGAAAGAGTGACAAAATCTCCAGGCCTCCTGGCGCCCCATTGCCTTTGCCAGTGAAGGAATGGGGAAGAAAGGTGCCCTGTGTTCTCGCAGCTGTTTCCCAAGGACTGGTGGGTAGTGGTCCCCGCTTCTGCCGTAAATACTGTATTTCAGGTCTCACCTGCCGTACACATTGGCGGCCCAGTCTAACAGCACATAGAGCTGCTCACAGCCGCGGGCGTCTCGCGCCAGCTCCTGCAGACGCTGGGCCACCGCGCTGTGAAAGGCACGCAAGTAGGTCTCCCACACTGGGAAATCGGTGGCTTTGTAAGCGGGCTGTATCTCTAATCGCACCTTCTGTAGGTCACGGCGAACCACGCCACCGAGTTCAGCCAGAAGCTGGGCTAGGTCGGAAGAGCCCTCCGCAGCCCCTGGGGTGACTTTGACGCCAGCCTGCTGCACGCGCTCCTGGGCGCTGCGCAGCACCGCGTCCTCCCAGTGTCGACGCCATTGGCGGGGCGTACTCAAGAAGTCACCTTCGGCTTGGGGGGCCTGGTGGGCCTCCTCTTCCAAGTTTACCACTTGGGCCAGTTCGGCTAGAGCCTCTCCATCTACGCCTTCGGAACCCAGCGCCTCGCGCACAATGGCTCCGATCTCCGCGGCTATTCCGTCGTAATGTAGGCAAACGTCCATAGCACGCCGTGCATAAGCGGTGGGGTCCTGAGCAAAGGTGCGTGAGGTTTTGTCTGCTACCAGCCGCGTCTCCAGGAACCGCAACTGTTCGAAGGCCTTCACTAATTGCCTCTCAGTGATGAGGTCTGTCACGGATTTGCTTTCTGCAAGTGCGAGTGAGAACCGGATCAATGGAGGGACCAGCACAGGGTCTTGGTACCAACTTAGACATCTAGGCTGCACTCAGAGTGTTGGGCTGGGCTGCCTGGCCATTACCCAGATGTTCTGTGAGCAATAGAACTGCTCCACCTACCAGAAGACCTTGCTTAGTTAGAATCACGTTTGGGGGAGCAGAGCCAGGATCCCAAACCTGGCTGAAAACAACAATTTGGGTCATCTCCTAACTGCACGGCACCTCCCCCCACCCCACTCCCATCTCTGCTGAACTGGTCCTGGTGCCCTCATGTGTGGCTGTAATTGCAGGTCTAATAGGTTCAGAGCTCAACTGGGTGTGTCCTGTCCTAATGTCCAGAGTCAGCCTTTCTGCTGGGCTGCGCTTTGCCTGCCCCTTGTTCGAGGAGTTTCTCTACGTCTGATGGGTCCCTTGTTGAGAGTTCAAGTCCACTGTGTGCTCACCTGAGCAGTCCCTCTAGCTGCCTCTCCAAGTGACAGTGGCCCTATGATCCTCTGGGACCCTGTGATCTGAGAGAATCAGTGCCTAATAATTAGGATGAGTTTGCTCAAGGGGCCAAGTGGTGAAAGGCCATGCAGATCTGGGTTCAAATCCCACTTCTCTTATAGTTAGCTGTAAGACACCAAGCAAGTCACTTAGCTGAGCCTGATTTTTTCTGTTTTGCCCAGTGGGTATATTGGATTTCCCTTGCTAAATACTGGAAGAATTGGTGCAGAAGGCAGGATTTGGGTGTGTCAGGATACCTTGGCTCAGCTCCCGCCCTCTCTGTCCTCATACTGTTGTATGAGACCCTACCTTCCTGGAGTTCCAGATCCTCAGGTCCCATCCCGGTGGATGCCTGCCGACTGATACCATCAGTGACACTGGAAGGCTTCTCTGTCACTGCAGGAACTTGAGGGTGCCCAGCAGCTAGGCCTTCATCCAGGGCCCGTCTCAAGGACCGTAACAGGCGGGAACTTCGCTTGATTAGGCCCTGGTCCTCCTTAGGTTTGTGGGTAGAAGCTGGCAGGCTGTTCCGGAGGAAGGTCCGCTTCAGAGAGCCCAGGCTGGGTTTCAGAGTGTCCCCGTGGTGAATGCTTGGCACTTTCATACTGTTGGACTTCCGGGTGCCCTGAGCTAGGGTCTGTGGCTTCCCAGGCTCCTTGGGGCTTTGGAGCTCTGGCCCAGCGGTCACTGTCCATGGCAATGGCATCTTGGCAGCAGGAAACCTGGGGGGGAGGGGAGAAAGCAGCTCAAGAGGCTTGGAGGCTGCCCAGCCCAGGAAGAAGACACAGAAGCCCGGTAAGTTCTCTGGGGCTCAGTAGGACCCAGGAGTGCAGGAAGGCTTGATTTCTTCTATGGAAAAGGAAATGTCTGCCAGCTACTGGGCTGGCCAGAGCCTTCTGCATGCCAGAGCACAGCGGGTGCTAAGATGCAAACAGCTACTGCCTCCCTGGTGCCATCCCCAAAGGCTCTCTCCCAGGTGCCCACCTTTACTGAGCCTGAGCGATTCTCATTGAATTAGGAATGTTGACCACTCATTCTGGGAAACCCACAACCCACAACCACAAGGGCAGGGTCCAGGACCCATGTCCCAAACGTCTAGGATTTTAGATTCTAAGGCCAAAAACCTCTCCCCATCCCTTTCTCCCCCAGCCCCACTTTAGTGCCTCCGGAGACCTGGGCTCACCTCTGTCAGCACAAAAGGCAGGATCGCTTCTGCTCAAACAGGAACCTCCTTAAGAAGCATTCCCTTCCGAGACTCTGTGGAGCTGGAGGAGGGTACGATGTGCCCTAGGGCCCTAGCCGCAGGCACCCAGCCACTTATCTTCACCACACAGCCTGAAGGGAAGGTGGTGGGAGGGGCTCCAGGTCTATATTTAACCTGGAGCTGAGGAATCCCAATATATTTCCTACCTGCTGCTCTTCCCCCTCTTGCAAACCCCCCAACCTTCACCACACGGAGTGAGTAGTGGGCTCAGGAGCATGGGAGATACACTGCTCAGGCTGCTGGCAGGCACTGCCACCATATTCTCCTCCAGCTAGCAAAGCCTAACTGTTTGCTTTCTGAGTGTGTGTTTAGCTAGGGGTGGGAGAGAAGAGACAGCCTTCCTGGCCACTGGAACCTTCTGCCCACCACATTGTGCAAGCTAGACATGGGTGGGGGATGGTATTGAGCCAGTAAGCTCCCCGTATGCCTTTGGAGAAACTGAACCAAAAGAGGGCTGGACTGGGCTGAAAAGATGGCCCATGGTTGAGAGTATTAGTTCCCCTTACAGAGGACCCAGGTCCAATTTCCAGCACCCATACAGTGGCTCACAACCATCTGTAGCTCCAGTTCCAGGGCAACCAGTGTGCTCTTCTGACCTCCAAGGGCACCAGGCGTGCACATGGTATGCGGACATACACGCAAGCAAAACACACACACATAATAGAAAGCAAATAAATCTTTAAGAAAGGAAAGAAGGAAGGAAGGAAAGAAGGAAGGAAGGAAGGAAGGAAGGAAGGAAGGAAGGAAGGAAGGAAGGAAAGAAGGAAGAAGAAAGGCTAGCCCGAGCCATTGCTCCCAGCCCTCTTCAGGACTCCCCACCATACCAGGACAAATCCAAGTAGAAGCTAGGGCCAGATCCCTGGGTGAGTCAGGAAGGAACTGCGCTTTCCTGGGACTTAAGGCATGCTGGACAGGGGCCAGCTCCTACGCTTTGAGCCCTCCAGCAAGGTATCTGACAGAGTCAGCTGAGTCCTACATTTCTGGAGCTCCAGAGGCCACCAGTAGCTTCAAGGAAGGAGAGAGGCTCAAGTGATTGGTCGTGGCCTTATCAGCCCCACCCTGGTCACAGGTCATTATCCTGCCCTGGCACCCAGTTCAGGGACCTAGCTCCACACAGACCTGACCCATACACAGCAAACTCTGGCCTCCTCCCTCAATGGAGCCCTTCAGCACCTAGTATGGGAGACGCACGGGCCCCTGTTGTGTTCTCCCAGGGGTGCTGGGAAAGGACAAGGTGGGGGTCCTACCTTGACTGGGGAGAGAGAGCTCAGCTTTGTTTACTAAGCACTGCCCGTGTGTTCAGTTCAGTGCTGACAAAGGTCTGATCCCCATGATAACAAAGTTGGGGAGCTTTATCTGCCCCATTTGAGAAACCAGGTGCTTAGAGAGGGAAGGGTCCAGCCTCAAGCCATTCAGCCTGGCCCAACCAGGTCTCCCCAGAAGCTAGGGACAAAGGGTGATTAGTATGTGCTCATGAGCACTAGAGGACTGGGTGCTACCAAAGAGCTCTTTTCCCTGTGAGGACCCCAAGGCAGGAGTCGGACTTGGCAGTCCTTGCAGGGGAGTCTGGGGACAGATTCTGGATAAGGAAGAACAGCTGGAACACGTGAATTTCATGGCGGGTTATAAGGAGTCTTTGGACTCACTCAGGCTGTTCAATCACCCTCATATAAAACCAGGTCTGCACTATAGGGCCGCCAAGGCCACCAAACAGCCTCTCTGGCTGTGGTCAGCCTCTCTGGCTACGGTCATGCCACTTTTTGGCTCTGTGGCTCTCAGCAGCTACCCAAACCATTCTTGACCTCCCCCAACCCAAATAGGTCACTACCCTGTTTTAAAACCTTCTCTGACTCCCTGGCATCCTCAAGCCATCCTGAGCCCCATAGCTGGGCATTCAAATTCCCCCAACCTTCTGGACTGATCTTTCTTTGCCTCACTCCTGGTCTGCATGTTTGCCCATGGGACCCCTCAATCCTGCTGAATGTGCAGTTTTCGACCCCTCCCCCAAGCTGCGTCCCCTCCTGATCCCTTCTCTCTTTGGTCTCCAAATCAGACCTGGCTTTCAGGACCCAGCGAGTCCCCTGCCTCCAAGAAATTCTCAGCTTTGTGCCATCTGTTCAGAGGCCCCTCAGGACTGTCCCTACTGTGATGTAGTTTCTTCCAGGCTTGAGAGTCTGTCTGTCTGTCTGTCTCCCTTCTCTTTCATCTCAGAGCACAGCTCAGAAGTATGGACTATGCAGTGTGAATGGGTGCCCCACGTGAGGCTGGCCTGCCTAGGTGTCATTCTGGTGCCCTCTGGGCTGATCTGTGGACTTCACCACCATGCCTTCCCTCTATTGGTCACAAGGCCCATCCCTGGCTCTCCATCTCCTCTCTCCACTGCGGCCACTCCCTGACTGAAGCTTGGTACTCAGCTCCATGATCCTGCAGATCCAGGACAGTACGGACCCTGGGTTCATCTCTTTCCCGGTCAAGCTACAGTCCCAACTGCAGGGCGGCAGAGGCAGAGAAAATCACCATGGGCAACTCTAGCTGTGACCATGAGGCTAGGTCTAGACTTCCCAGTTTCCCAGACTTGCTTCTATCCTTTGCTAACCTAGAAGGGCTGTACCAGCCCCTACTGTCTCAGTTTTTCTCCAGAACAAACCACATCCTTCCTCCCCACTTGCTAGGACTGGGTCATCCCCTATCCGCCAAAGCCCCAAGAATAACGACGGCAGGGAGGCTGTGACGCTCTTGCCTTGAGATGTTCCCTGCAAGCTGGGGGTCTTTCCTGAAAGCATGGAACAGGATGAGAACAGATGGTTTCGGTCCTCGGTGTCACCCGCGGGATCCGGTTAAGCCAACAAGACAAGTCTGCAAATGTCCGAGAGGAACAGCTCAGGTTACTGTTCTAGTTGTTTGTATCTGTCTGACTAGAAATCCCAAGGTTGGCTATTACGGGCTAACCAAAGGGTTTGGTAAATTTCATATGTTGATTTTGCAAACACAACCAGGAGCTATCTTACATGCCAGACAAACTTTTTTAAAAATATGCAGGCTCCCCTCCTAGCTGCCAAAATAAAAACACCCCTAGGTTGCCGTTGCCCACAGAAGTGCAGACTTCTTACCTTGGCACACAAGGCCCTTTCTAAGGTTTGTCATGGGTTACCCAGCACGATGTCACTCTCTTGCCCTTCTGTCCACTCAGAATCACCCCTCCTCCATGCTTTTGTGTGAGTTGCCCTTGCTTCTAGCAGTGACCTGAGCTCTTCCAGCTGCCAACCCCTCAGGGCCCTTCCTCTGAGAAGCCTCCCCTCACCAGCAGTCCCAGCACACAGCACATTCTTTTCTGGGTCTAACTCCGGTCCTAGATAGTTATGTGGACTGAGATGTCTCGGCCACTTGACCAAGGGTCCCAGGAAGCGTGGAACGAGCCTGGCTCAGATCCATGAAGGGCCATTAAATGTCAGCTGGGCCAAGAAAGACGAAGTGACTCTGACGTGATTGTGAACCTGTGGTACAGCCACACGTAGGTGAGCTTCCGTTTTGCACATCTTCATGCTTGCCTGAGTGTGTGTGTGGTGTATGTGTATGTGTGTGTATGATTATTCTGTAATGTGTGTGTGTGTCCTGTGTCTGTGTGCATATCCGCATGCCTCATGCGTGGCCCTGCTTTCTGTAACCGTGTGTGTGGCTGTCTACACACTCGGATATGTGCATACCTTCTGTGACGGAGGTAACACTGTGGCTCAGCTGGCCTGGGCTTGGAACCCAGACCCATAGCCAGAAAGGTCACAGACGGAGCCAGAGTAGTCCCCACCCACAGCCCAAACGCCCACTGCCCAAACGCCCTGTACCTGACTGGGTCATACCTGGTGTGTGAGCAGATGACTGGCCAGGCAGAAGAGGTCCTGGGGAAGGCAGCCACGCAGGATCCTGAGACCAGGTCTCGGCGGGAGGCCTTCAGAACTGCCCATTTGATTACCAACAGCTGGGACTTCCCAGCCACAGGCCCGCCCACGCCCACTTTCTACTCAGACCCCACGCTTTCGCTTTCAGAAACGTCCCGCCTCTTCCATTCCAGAGGCAACCACTCCAACCTTTGCACTGGAGCCAGCCTGAGCCGGACCCTGAGCTCCTGGAGAGGTTAGGGAAGCTAAGGAGGTGGAGATTAGTGAAGGAGAGGTTAGGGAGGTGAAAGTTAGGGGACGGTGGCCCTCTGTCGCAGCAGTGGGGGCAGGAGCTTCTGGGGACTACTGAGGACTGCCAGACCCTCCCACTGCCAGAGGCAACATAGATGGGGGGCGGGGTTGGGGAACACTCAGCCCCCTAGAGCCCAGAAACATGCCTCTGTCCGACTCCAGTCTAGGAAGTTCACACCGGTGCCACCTATGTTTGCCAGAGCTACAAGGCAGAGGGCAGATAGGAAGACCTGTTGGGGAAGTTTCCGGTCACGCCTGGAGGAGCAGGTACGAGCCATATACTGTTCCAGAGTGCTAGAAGGAGAGGGCCCTAGAGTCCCAGAGGGTCACACTCAGGAGTGAGAAGCACCTTCTAGACAGAGGCAGTACAAGCAGTCACAGCGTCAGGGAGAGGCCAGTTGTGATGACTTGTGAGCTCAGGGGAAATCCAAGGACACATTCAGGCCTGTCCCATCCTGTGCTGGTTGTAGTGTGGATGCTCCAGAGTTACAGTGTTGGGTGTGAGGACACAGCTCCACACAGCCCCGGGCCTGAGGGCTGAGGTCTTGATTCTTTTGAGGCTTTTCTTCCTGATTTGCAGGTTATCTTTTTTTTTTTTTTCCTTCCTTTTTTGACCTGGAGACTGGGTCTCACTGTACATTCCTTGATGGCCTATAGTTCACGGTGTAGGCAAGGCTGGCTTTGAATTCACAGAAATTGGATTAAAAGCATGAGCCATTAAAGCTGGTCCTTCATGGGTTTGTGTGTTCCTCTGTATATGTGTATTTGTCTGTATATTGCATGTGAGGCCACCTAGTAAGTCCAGGCTGGCCTCAAACTCAGAGATCTATCTGTCTCTGCCTCCTGAGTACTAGGATTAAAGACTTTCTTTTCTTTTTCTTATCTTTCTTTCTTTTTTTTTTTTTTTTTTGTGAGACAGAATCTTATGTAGCTTAAGATGACCTTGAATTTTTCCTCCTCCAGTCTCCACTTTCCAGTTCTGGGGTTACCTATGTGAGCCTCCTCAGTGCTGGGGTTACCTGTGTGAACCTACTCAGTGCTGGGATTGCCTGTGTGAGCCTCCTCAGATCTGGGGATCCAATCCAGGGCTGTAAGAATACTAGGTAAGCTTTCTCTCTACCTGAGGCAGAGTAAAAGGATGGGGAAAAGTGTGGGACATGAGAAATAAACGGAGCTCCTGACCCAGGAATCTGGTAGGCAGAGATCCTGGCGTGGTCAACACCTCTTTAAGACCTCTCTCCACTTCTAGCTAGCATCCTTTGATTTCCTGAGAATTTCACCAGAAACTTCACTTACAGAGAAAGGACATATACCAAACTCCTTGAGAAACCGCCTCAAATTGTAGTTCCATATAAGATGTCTCTGTTATCACCACTCTTCTGTCAGAAGAGAGAGAAGGGAGGGGATAGCATGCTTAGCAATGTCTGAGATGTAACTTGAGAGTCACCAAAATGGTGTATCTATGGCTAATAGCTAAGGCAGCTCACTGTGGATTCCCTTGAGGAGGCTACACCCTCACTCAGGCATGTCTTACTTTCTGCTCTCCCTTCGTGTTCCACTAACACAAGACCTGCTCTCTCTGGATCCTCATGTGTAATCCTGTATTAGAGTACCTTTAACAAAAATGCCCAACTCTTCTTCAGACTGACTAGTCCTGAACTTCTTTTCCTCCGTAAAGCCACAAATCTCCGTTTGGCATACTGACCTGATTTTAACTATCTTTTCAAAGACTCTGTCTCCAATAAGGTCACATTTTCAGGTTCTGGGGCTAAGCGGCTAACACATGAGTGATAGATCCGAAGATACCAGGCATGCTATGGCACCCTATGCAGTCTGGAGACAGACCAAGCCTGACAGAAGCCATTGGCACCTCCTCCAGGATGCCTTTCAGTAATGAGAAGCCCTAGGCGCCCTAGGCAGATGGTGTTATAGAATATTAGTTTAAGATGTGTTACATTTGTTTAAGCTGTGGAATGTAAGCGGGGAGTTTTCTGTCCTCCTGTCAGTTCCCAAATAACCACACGAAGACTTCTTATTAATTGTGAGGGCTTGGCTGAAAGCTTGGGCTTGTTTCTAACTAGCTCCTATAACTTAACTAAGCCCATTTCCATTCATTTCCTTTCTGCCTCGTGGCTTTATTACTTTACTCTGCCCATGTTGTTTTCCTGCTTCCTCCTGTCTGGTCTGGCTGGCAGCTCCTTGCGACTCTGCCCTTCTTCCCAGTGTTCTCTCTGCCCTGAAAATTCTGCCTAGCTATAGACTGTTTAGTTTTTTACTAAACCAATCACAGTGAAATATTGTCACACAGCGTAAAGGAATACTCCACAACAGTGAAATATTTGTTTAATGATATAAAGATGTGTTACATTCTTTTATGCTGCATTTGTTTAACCCCTGTGAAACTGTGTTACTTTGCCTGCCTAAAACACCTGATTGGTCTAATAAAGAACTGAATATCCAATAGCAAGGCAGGGAATGGGCTGGCAGGCAGAGAGAATAGATAGAAGAAGACCATGAAAAAAGGAGGAGAGGAGGATGCCAGGGGCCAGCCACCCAGCCAGCCAGTCACCCAGCCATGCAGTAAGAAGTAAAGTATATAGAATAGAGCAAGATAAAAGCCCAGAGGTAAAAGGTAAACAGGATAATTTAAGTTAAGAAAAACTGACTAGAAACAAGCCAAGCTAAGGCTGGGAATTTATAAGAAAGAATAAGTATCTGTGTATTTATTTGGGAGCAGGGTGGTGGCCCCCCAAAGAGCCAAAAGTGTTAAAAGTAAAAACAACACCAACAAAAAACAACTACAGAATGGAGTAGTGGAAATCCCAGCCAAAGGCCAAGAGTTGCCCAGCCAGCCACACCTTTCCTCCCAGCTCAGCTTGCTCTGCCTATTGGCTCTCTGTAAGGGGGCTACCCTAGGCTCAGGGACCCACTGACCACCAGGGAGACCAGGACTGTGTCCAAGTCACACAAGAGTCCTGGGATCTCCAAGTTCAAATTTCCTGAAGATGTCTGAGCAGCAGCCAGATTCTGACTTTTTTTTCCTTCTGTCTCTTTGTACAACCTCAAAATTTAATACTCAGGACCAGGAAGATTGTTCCTGGGCCTTCCCCAAAGTCCCACCGAACCCCAGACTTCCCATACCCACTCTTTAGTATGAGGCAATGCTGTTTTTTCTTTGATTTTGTTGTTGTTGGTTAGTTGATTGGTTGGTATTTTTGTTTTTTTAAACATTCTTTTCAACAAAGTAGAATTTTAAATGTTTTTACTTATTTATTTATTTGTTTGTTTGTTTTTTGAGACAGGGTTTCTCTGTAGCTTTGGAACCTGTCCTGGAACTAGCTCTTGTAGACCAGGCTGACCGTGAACTCACAGAGATCCGCCTGCCTCTGCCTCCCAAGTGCTGGGATTAAAGGCATGTTCCACCACCGTCTGACTCTAAATGTTTATTTTTTTAAAAAAATTTGTTAGACGTATTTATTTTATGTGAGTGTTTTGACTGCAGAGGTCAGAAGAGGGAACAGATCCTCTGGAACTGGAGCTAAGGATGGTT